CAATGGCGACGTGGATGCGCTGGCTCGCGTTCGGGTGGCCATGGGGGCGGCTGGCGGGAAGCGGCCCTCCGCGACCGCCTCGGCCGCCCCGCAGGCCGGCTCCGCCGGGCATCGCGCCGGCGAGCCGAGAGAGAAGGGCGATCGCGAAGGACGCGCGGACGTTGCCCCAAAGCGTCAATGCGAAAGCTGCGGGGGCGCCTCGGGGCTCGGGCTCGAGCAGGGACGAGCGCCGCGTCGGAGCCGGGGGCAGCCGCAGTGGCGCTGACATCCTTGGTCGAGGCCAAGGGTGGTGAGAACGGCGTGTCAGCGTCTTGCGCCCCGCTCGAGCGGCGTGGCGCGCTCGCGAAGAAGGCCAGCGCTGTCGCGCGCATCGCGAGGCGCGGTGCCAGCGCGAGCAGGAGCTTCGCGGTCGCGCCCGTCGCAAAGCCACGGCCGGCACCCGCGAAGTTGCGAGGGTTGCGGGGCGTCGTGGCGCCCCCATGGGCGTGCGCAAACCTCGCGGCGCTGACTGCCGGTTCCTCTCGGCGACTCGAACGAGGTTGCTTGCGTGGAAGCCGCCCAGAGGGACTGCGCGTTTAGCATTTAGATGTGCGAAAAATGGACAGGTGAGAACAGTCGCCCCAACGGCCTGTCGCCGTGGGATCTCGCACTCAAGCGCGCCGAGCAGGACCGCGCCCCAGAGGCCGAGCCAGCGGGAAGCGTCCGAGGGGGCGACGAGCCGCGTCCGGCAGGGCGGCGGGGCCGAGGACGCGCAAAGCAGTGCGAGATCTGATCCCTGCACTGATGACAGCCAAGCAAACGATTGCGCTGATGCAGCGATGCACGGGCGCGCCCGCTCGCCCCACCCCCCCGAAATCGCTTTCAAGAGGGCCCGGCGCCAGCTGGGGCGCGCGGGCTGGAGTGCGGCATCGAGCGGCCCCCGTCTCTCCAAGTGGTCGGGCGGACGCGAAAAAATCCATTTACTGAGCCCGGGAAACAGCAACTCACGAAGACGGCGACCGACGGCGCGCGAACCTTCGCCATGCGCCCTGCATTTCGGGCCCCCGCCCCTGAACCCTCCCCGCGCGCCCGGTTCTGCCCCGATCTCTTACAGAGAGGGGCGGGGGGGGCGGATCTGGGCCGCGCGTGGAAACACTGAGCGTTTGCCCTGCTCATGCGCCAGAACTTGGGCGACCGGATGTCTGTTGCCGAATCTGCGCTGGCGCGATTGGACCTGCGCGCCTCGTCTCAAGGCCGACCAGAGACTGAGGGGCGCGGGCTGCCAATCAGAAACAGCGAGAGAGCGCGCGCGACGAGCAGGAGAGGCCGGGACAAGGGTGGGCGAGGGGGCGGCAGGGGGCCACAGTCCGAGAGGAAGAAATTCAGACAGGCTGAAATGGGAAACGAGAAAAAAAAAACGCGGAGAGCCGGGGCCTCGCGCTGAAGGGCCTCGGGGGACGAGGGGGGGGGGGGAGCTGGGGCAGGTCGCTCGGGGCGCAAGCGGCGCGCGCGTAGCAGTGGCGAGCAAGACTGCGAGGGGGGGCGCGCGTGGGCGAGGGGCTCGATAATGTGCTTCCACTATTTGCACGCTGCCTGAGCCCACCGGGATTCTAACTCTGCGGCTGGCCCGAACTGCGCGCCGAGATTGGACGCGGGGCCTCGCGCGCCAAACGCGCTGCAACCAGGAGCATTTCCCGCGGCCAAGACTCGGATTCGCCGCGAAGAGCTGGGGTGCATTTGCCCCAGAGCTGTACAATGCAAACTTGTTAGCTCGCGACTGACGGGGGGCGTGCTCTCCGAGTGCAGCGAAGTGCGGCGCAACTCGGGATGGCGCGCGGATCTGCGGGGCGAGCGGGCCAATGTCGTCTGCGCCAGCTCCGACCCCCCCTGGGGCGTCTCCGCTGGGGCGCATTTCCGCGACCTCAGGAAGCAGGCGAACCAGGGTCAAATGCCAGCGCCCAAGCCGACCCCGACAGGGGGCGCCCTGGAGAACTCCGCTGGACAGGAGGTAGAACACGAACTGAGGCTCCGCGCCAATGCACCCGAAGCCCCATGGGGCAGAAGTAGAGGGAGTGGAACATGTCAAGGTGCCCTTGGTGGACTTCGCGGCGGCGCGGGACTCCGAATAGCCATCGGCGGCCCGCTGAGAGGAACGCGCCGGCAATATCAAACGCACTAAAAAACGCGGCCACTCCTGGTGAGCAGCCTGTCTGAGGCTGCGCTCTCCAGCACAGGCGTCCACGGCGGCGATGCTGCGAGCGAAGCAACGCCCGCTGACAACTCCCCGCCGCTGGTTGGCACGCACGGGCCAGCTACTTTAGCGAGCAATTCGAGGTTCGCAGCGCTGGCTATGATCTTAGCGTCAGAACTGCGAAGGGACAGAGGCCGCACCTCGTTGGCTTGGCGCGCGCAGACGAAACGATATTGGGGAAGTGATCTCTTAGGAAGAAAAGAAAATACAGACTCATTGAGATCGAGCGGCGCTAAGTCATCGCGGGAAAGGTGGAGGGCTAAATCTTCGAATGCGTCTATCCGATCGGGGATCGCTGCCCTCGCGCGGTAGGTTGGCCCAGCGGGCCCAGGGGCCGAATGACGAGCGAGCGCCATGGCCTTCGAGGCCGGCGCGCGACGGAACAGGAAGACCAGAGTCGGGGCCACGAGGGGCCCCAAGGCCGCCCAGGCACGCGCGGAGCTCGACATGGCCCACCACCGCGACACCAGAAACATCCCCCCCCCCCCAGCGAGGGGCAAGAGCAGCACGGATATCATCATTCGGGCATCCGCGGGATCGGCACCCGCGGCAGTCGCCTCGGGCCGAACCACGCGAAGCATCGTCGCGCTGCCTTTCGGGCGCCAGAGTTTCGCATCACGCTGTAGCGAACGCTGGAGACGGCGGGCAGCATTCGCGAATGGGCCATTGCTCGCGGCCCCCGCGTATCGGGCCAACGCAGCAGCGCGGGACTGGCGCTCGAGCGCGGCAGCGCTTGCGTCACATGGAAGGGCCCGATGGGCTTCTGGCTGGATCCGAGAGAGAGAGAGAGAGAGAGAGAGAGAGAGAGAAACAAAAAAAAAAAAATGAAAGAAAACAACAAACTGATAAGGAAAGATGGGACATCAAAAAAGAAACGCGCACACACACACACACACACACACACACACACACACACACACGCACGCAAAAAAAAAGAGCGCAGCGCGGCCTCGAGGGGGGCCCCACGCGGAATCGCCCGAGAGCTGGCCGCGAGGGTGACCATGCGAACCTCTACAGCATTGGGGCCCTAAGAGGCCCGGGACAGCACCAGGGTCCAGAGAGGCCATGGGCTTCATGGGTTGCCGCAACCCGCGAAGCCCAATGCGGGCCCCGCGCGCGGCTTCCCACATCTACAGCTTCATGTATTGCCAGCGGAGGTCAGCCGGAAGGCGGGATGCATCTTCGGCCGAGATACGGACGGATAGCTTCTCGCGGCAGCGAGGACCAAAACATATAAAAACAAGAACGCGCGGTTCATTGAGGGAGCCGCGCCGCGATTGCAAAACGAGAGAGAAACCGACGCGCGATCGCTCCGAGCGTCGAAAATCTGGCACAGGCCCACATGAGCTTGACTGCGTCGAATTCGAGCACGCACTCGGCAGGGGCACCGATGGACGCGCGATCCAAAATTACAGCAGAGAAATGGTGACGATTGAAGCGAGCGGGCAACTCAGATAGAATGTCAGAGGCGGCGTGCATCAACGACCTCCAAGGGGTCTCGAGAGGGGGGCCATTTGGTTTTCTATCGACAGGCGGGCGCGAGCAGTCTCAGCATTCTGGCAACTCAGTGGAGCGCCAGCGGCGACGTCGCAGTCCCCGAGCGCCGCGAACGACCGACGAAGAGGGCAGGCGCGACGCCAGCCAGCGGCCTGCACCCACTCAGCGCGAAGACGAAGTGGAACAGGAGGGGGGCGCTCGTAGCTGCGCGCGCTCACAATCTCCATCTCGAGGTTAGCCTTCGGCTTGGCGACGCCGACCATCTGCGCGCGGCCGTGGAAGAAGACTTCGCGCGACGTCGCCGGCTGATCTGCCTCGGGCGCGTACGGCGCCGTCGAGGGGCGGGGGGGGCAGGGGCGAGGGCGGCCGCGCCGCCGGCGCCAGGTCCGCCCGCGCTGGAGTAGGATAGCAGTTGACGGGCGAGGCCTGGATCAAGGCACGGAGCTGCGCCGCGCGCCCCCTGCGCGAGAATGACCGCGCGATCCTTCGCGCGGGAGAACAGCTTCTCAAACATGAAACATGAGACGCGTCCGCCCGAGACCAACACAAGCAAGACCTCGGGCGACCCGGGAGACGACGCGACCTCCGCGTCGCACGGGGGCCCACTCCCACGAAGACCATCTGCCGCTGAAGACTCCAGCCATTCGCGGCGGCATCAACCGCGTCGGCGAGGGCCTAGAACGCGGCTACGACGACGGACATGTAGATGATGAGTCTCTCGACCGCAGGGGCGCGCCAAGAGAACTTGGTCGGGTCGCCCGCGTCCCCCAGCTGCATTGCTGCGAGCGGGGCGCCAGCCACTAGCACAACTCCCTCGGCACGTCGACATGAAATCTGAAGATCAGCATGGCATTCGGCAAGACACGCTGCGCCTTCTTCGTGTGGAGCTCAAGACGGACCCGAAGGGGTACTTAATCAGGACTGATGTGGCGTCCGTGCGCCTTGGGTACTTTGAGCACTGAGGGAGCGCCAGCCACTTGCAGAGCACACGCCAGCGACAATGCCAACGACGGCTGCGCAACCTCATCACCTCCTTTGGTACGAATGAAGAAACGCCGAGAAGGTACCTGTCCATCAATGTCGATCTGATCCATGGTGAGGCCAATTTCCGTGACCTAGCTCTGGATGGGGCGACGCAGCTCAAGTGGCGCGATTGCCGGCGGGGCTCCCGCAATGAAGAGCGCGGGCTCGGCCTGCCTCTCCCATTGCGCCACCTTCGCCGTGCCCGAAGGAAGAGACTTGGGCCTCAGCCAGGGCAAGCGCGCGCTCGATCCTGGAGGCTGCGTCGCGCATCTCGTCCTGGTCCGTATATTGCTCGGCCTGCTTGCGTCTGATGTCTGCAATCGCGTGCGTGTGCTCGTCGAGGCGAGCATTGGTCTGGCACACCTGCTTGAAGCACATGTGCATGCTAAGCTGGAAGTCATCTTGCGCCTTCTTGAGCGCGCCTGCGCACACCGCCCGAAACTTGAACTAACTTCACCAAGCTGCGCGTCGAAGAGGTATTGCCTCTGCTAAATTCGTCAGCATTCGGGATCCGCCCTCCCCAACGCATAGCTCCGCAAGGAGCTTGCCACGGATTATCGGCGCGGGCAGCACTTCTTCCCGAGGAGGCGGCGACGGCTCCACTGGCAGAGCCAGAAGCGGCGGCACGGCTGTCAGCGCCAGGCGTGGCCGCGGGCGTGGACTGGGCACCAGGCTCTTCAGCATGCACGGGTACAGGGACGGGCACACATGCCACAGCATGCCTATCAGGACGTTCTTGGGGAGGGGAGGTGGACGCCATCTCGAGGGCAGCGAGGGGATCGTTCTGCTGGGAGGCGGCGATGGGCAAGGAATCGATATCGTGCAGGGTGGCAGCAGCAGCAGCAGCAGCAGCAGCAGCAGCAGCAGCAGCAGCAGTAGCGATACGTTCGTCCATGGAGTCCTCCGAATCCGTGCCATCGATGCGGAAGGTCTCCGCGCGACTGCTTGCCCCAGAGTTCGCCATGGCAGAGACACGCGGGAGGCATACTCCGAGGTGGGTGCCTCTGAGCGGCGGGTGACAGCTGAAAGGCGCGGGGACCTGGCACCGAGAATAATCACGATAATATGGCAACAGAGGCTCATTAAGTGCCGTGCGAGCCGGGTGTGGGCAGCCTGGACCAACACCACCTCTCGCCCCAGCGACATCGTGAGCCAAAATGCCGACGCATGAGGAGAGAAGGAGGAGGCGGAGGAGGGAGAAGGCGAAGGATGAGGAGGCAGGCGGAGGGAGGAGGGGGAGGAGGAGGAGGAGGAGGAGGAGGAGGGGGAGAACAAGTGGAGAAAGGAACTGGTGATCGGCCACTAACTGAATAGGCAGGTTTGGGCCCACCGCAGAGTCCAAGCCCAAACATGATCGACCCACGAATCCGGAAAGGAGTATAGAAATGTAACGGTTGGCAGCGTTTTCAAAGATACCTGATTTGGGTGACGGGCAAATGCAATGCTGAGTGTATCGATCTTGAATGTACCCTGCCCAGGGCTGGGCTGTGCTGCATCGTGCTGAATTGCGATGTGCCATGCCGCGATTATGCTCTATAGCGTCGTGGATCGAGTCCTCCTTTGCACCCGAATCCTGACCGAACTGATCTGGATCTTAAGCTCGAGCTGCCTGAACACATCGTAGCTGCCCAAGAGCTAACTGACAGGGGGACATACCAGGAGGACGCGCCGCGAGACGTCCCAAGGAACGCGCCAGGCGACGTGCCAGGGGACGTGCCATGGGGTCGCACCGCAGGACTTGCCAATGGGACGCGCTACGGAACGTGCCAATGGATGTGCCACGGGATGTGCCAGGGGACGCGCCACGCGACGTGCCAGGGGGACTCGCCAAGGGACACCCCACGGAACGTGCCAAGGAACTTGCCAGGTTGCGATGCTGAGTGTATCGATCTTGATGTACCGTGCCGAAGTCTGTGCTGTGCTGCGCCGTGCTGAATTGCGATGTGCCATGCCGCGATTATGCTCTATAGCGTCGTGGATCGAGTCCTCCTTTGCATCCGAATCCTGACCGAACTGATCTGGATCTTAAGCTCGAGCTGCCTGAACAAATAATCGCTGCCCAAGAGCTAACTGACAGGGGGACATACCAGGAGGACGCGCCGCGGAACGTCTCAAGGGACGTGCCAAGCGACGTGCCAGGGGACGTGCCATGGGGGCGCACCGCGGGACGTGCCAAGGGGACGCGCTACGGAACGTGCTGGGGACAAGCGTTTCGCTCGAGACATCCTGTCAAAATCCTCATGCTGGACATCCGCCTGAGCGACCTGGACACGTGAAAACAAGCGTTTCGCTCAACACATCCTCAACACATTCTCATGCTAGACGTCTGCCTGGACGAACTGGACACGTGAAAACAAGTGGTTCGCTCGAGACATCCTCAACACCTCGTCATGTGAGACGTCCGCCTGGGTGACCTGGGCACGTGAGAGCAAGCGTTTCGCTCGAGACGTTTTCAACACCTCCTCATTCTAGACATCCGCCTGGGCGACCTGTACACGTGAAAGCAAACGTCTCGCTCGAGACATCCTCAACACATTTTCATATTAGACATCCGCCTGGGCGACCTGGACACGTAAAAACAAGCGTATCTCTCGAGACGTTCTCAACACATCCTCATGCTAGGCATCCGCCTGGGCAACCTGGACACGTGCAAACAAGCATCTCGATCGAGACTTCCTCAACACATCCTCATGCTAGACATCCGCCTGGGCGACGAGGACGCGTGAAACCAAGCGTCTCGCTCGAGACATCCTCAACAAATCCTGGCGCTAGACCTCTGCCTGGGCAACCTGGAGGCGTGAAACCAAGCGTCTCGCTCGAGACATCCTCAAGACCTGGGCACGTGAAAACAAGCATTTCACTTCAGAGATCCTCTGAATTCTGGTCCCCAGGAGAGGACAACCTATAACACAAAACAAGCGTTTCGCTCGAGACATCCTCAACCATTTCTGAAAAACAAGTTTTTCGCTAGGGACATCCTCAAAATTCTAAGTCGCCGGCCCTACGCGACCCCGTTATGTATCGCAAAATTAATTCGCCGGCCCAACAGCCGTCAGAACCAAGGATAAACACACTAGCAGAAACCCCTGGGCCTAAGCCCTTTCCGGGAAAAGCGAGGGCAACATAAAAGCAAGGAGATGTGAGCAAGCATCACTGTCTGAAAACACTGGCCAAAGTCTGCCATCCCTTGCAGGCGAATGGGGGCGATCCACGACAAGAAGGCAAGGCTGAAGCGAGAGCTGGCATCCCAACTAAGTAAACATGGACAGAACTCCGATACACACCGAAATCCTGATCGGACATACTTGGACGCAGAAGACCTGGCCTCCTCGCCTTCGGCCCTTGATTCAGGAATGATATCGGGAAACTCTTTGCAACGGCGGGAGACCACTCAACCTAAAGGTCCTGCTCGCCAGAGATTGCGTACCGACTCCAGCACGCCCTCCAGACGAAGCTTTTGCCCAACTTAGAAAGGCGCCCCCGCCACAGTCCGTCGTGGTAAACAAATCTTCTGGCAATTCCTACAGGCCGGACGAGCCACGGAAGAGAAATCAACCTGACTAACCTGACCTTCCCTGCGCTGCACAATGTCGTGCTGCGAACTCCAAGGGACAGCATGGAAGAAGCGAGAGCGCCGCCTCTGGTGGCGATGCGCTGTATGCAAAAGTCTTTCTCCAAACGAAAGAGTAACAATGCGAGCTTGCACACACACACACACACAGAGATAATGCCCCCATCAGGGCGAAGAGAAGAGAGAGCACGCCAATTATCGTAGTGGCTCAGAGAGGGCCAGTGACGGTCCTGTCCGTCAGAGCTACGGGCTGGCTCTTATGAGCGGGCAGAAGACAAGCTGTCCCCTTCAGCTCTGCCAGGGCTGCAAGGGGGGGGGGGGGGGGGCACTCCGTGCGCAGCCTCGAAGGAGAGGCTGCGCGGTCCTTGAGGCGGAGCTGGAGCTCCCCATCCTCCGCCCTGCGGAGGTGGGCAGCTACATCTCCGAACGTTCTGCGAAGAGAACGGGAGTGCGAATGGGGGCGGCCCTCTGGGACAGGCGAGCGAACGCACCCAGCACAAGGCCTGATGGGGGCACATGAACGCTGCTGGCAGCCGAAAAAACACTGCCACCGAGGCTGCTAGCGCTGCTGCTGCCCGGCCTCGTGCTTCTCAATATGGTGGCAAATGCTGCTGCCCTGAATTTCCGAACCGAAGCCATCTGTTTAGCCGACGGGGCACTCTGGACGAACGTCACCAGGAAGAGGGGTAAAAGGCAAAGCCCGTAGCGTTTACCGTGCACCCAGACGGACCCGGCATGTCGAACTGCCCAGGAGGCGGAGCCAGCGGGATCGGACTCGGACAACGCTGCGAGGGTGTGGAAGAACAAGAATCGATAGTCCCTTGACGCCAGACCGCACGGGGTAGACGAAAGCGCCGAGGATGGAAGGGAACGCGCTGGCGGAGGAGGCGGCGGAGGAACCCGACTTCCCGACAGCCATCGAGGATCCATGAAGCTGGCACGGACGTGGCTAGCCTCCCAGCGGAATGTGAGGCTGGCGCGATAAGCTCCCGCAAACGGATTGTAAAGGTGAAGGGAGAAAAGAAGCAACCGCCCCGCCTCGTCCACCACAAGGGCAGGATCCGAGACGGGAATTTGACAATGACAGGCCGATCGAGCATGGAGGAGGAGGAGGAGGAGGAGGAGGAGGAGGAGGAGGAGGAGGGAATGAGGAGCGGAGGAGGAGGAAGGCAGGGAGGAGGAGGAGAGAGGAGGAGGAGGAGGAGGCAGTAGGACGAGGAGGGATGAGGAGGAGGAGGAGGAGGAGGAGGAGGAGGAGGAGGAGGAGGACGAGGAAGGAGGATAAAGAAAAAGGAGGAAAGAGGCAGGAGGAGGAGGAGGAGGAGGAAGCAGAGGAGGAGCAGGAGGAGGCAAGATAGGCGTGCTTGCGCCATATCTGACATCCTACCCGTTCCACCCATCCCTTCCCGTGGCGATGATTCTTCCGGTAGGGGTCGTTGCCCGGGGGAGGGGGTGGAACCCCAGGTAACGGTAACGCTCGGGCGGAGTGCGGCATGTATCACGTCGGGGCGGGGGTGCGCTGCGATTGCGATCCAGCATGCGGGAAGGGGTCCAGCCCCCCCCCTCTACGCACGATCGTTATCGATACCCTGGGGGGGCGGGTAACGACCGGTACGCGCCAGAGGATGTAACAAAAAAACATCTCAAGAGAAAGCTGCACAAACACACAAATCCCACCAGCCCTCTGGGCGTCGGTGGTTTAGAGCGTTTCCTCTTCCACCCCTCCTTCTTCCCCTTCGGGGAGGGGTTTACCCCTCCCCCTACCCCCTCCCCACTGACCTGGACAGGGGGTTCCGCGGCGCGCTGGAGCGCCCAAGATCGACCCCTGGGAGGGCTAAAATTCGACACCCCTCACGAGGATCGTGGCTCCTGAGGGGGGGACTGTAATTAGGGAACCCCCCTTCGTTGATCGATCTCCTCCAAGATGGCTCCGAGGCCCCCCAAGAGGCACCCAGGAGGCCCCCAAGAGACCCCCAAGAGGCCCCAAGAGACCCCCCAGAGGCACCCAAGAAGCGCCCAGGAGACCCCAAGAAGCGCCCAGGAGGCCCCCAAAGGCCCACAGATGGCCCCAAGAGGCCCCAAGAGGCCCCCGGGAGGCACCAAAGAGGATCCCGAACGGCCCACAGAGGCCCCCCCGAGGCACCCAAGACGCCGAAAAGCCCCTCAGGACGACCCTCTACTCGCCTGGGCGTCGTTTCTGGACGGGCTGGTGGGGATACGCGAAGCGTCTAGAATTTCATTCTTGGGTCGCGCAGTAATCACGACCAACAGTTTTCGGTCATTTTCGGCCTCCGCCTCGACTCCGCATCCGCCGTAGTCTGGTTGATTCTGCGCCTTCAAATGTGTATGAGACATGCAACCCGAACAGTGTGAACAAAAAACGGCGGCAATTT